TTCCTTCCTTCCTTCCTTCCTTCCTTCCTTCCTTCCTTCCTTCCTTCCTTCCTTCTTTCTTCCTTTTTTCTTTCTTTCTGTTTTTGTTGAAGAAGTACTCTATAATTACAATGTTAAGCAGTTATTTCACTATAATGTGCTAAAAATAAGTTAAGGCTTAATCGTCAAGCAGGAAGGATTTATATATTTGGAGCAATTTTGCATGTTTGTTTTCACTAAAATGATTTTGGGAACATTCCCAGATGTGATAGTCACTGTAGTACTGTCAGCAACATGAGTAGGTGAAACAAAATCAGAAAAGGGGTGGAACTAGAAAGCAACTCTGTTTGGTAAAATTTTGACCTTCCAGATTTTAAATCGTAAATTTTGCAAATGGATATTAAAACAAAAAATTGAATTTTTAATTATGCTTGAATTATTTGTTATTTGTTTTTTCTAGATTCGGTTTCTCATCTTGGCTGTGGATCAGTATTATTATTTAATATCTCACAAATTAGTGATTTTTCTAATGCTAATTTAGGGACTGACTAGATCAGAATCAGCAGAGAATTTTTGAATGTTTTGGTTTAATACAGTTTTTCTATCCTCACAAAGTAGATACTTCAGGCAATTGGATACACAGTTTGAATGGGACACATTTTAAAAATTATTTTCAAGATTAGTGTAATGAAATTATGCTCAATTTTAGATACAGTAGAATATATATATTTTTGTCCTCAATCAAATATTTATTTAGAGTTGTCATGATATACCTGTGTCAAATTGTGTATTGTGGGGAGGGAAGTACAGCCTTTGGTTTAGTTTAAATTAAAATACATACTGCAAAGTTGAAAGACACAAAGATTACAATTCTTGTAACAAAAACTATCTTGGTCACATGATATGCAGGATACTAAAACACGTGGAAAGTAAAAACCCTCCTATTTACTCAAAGGATGTGTTTTAAATGGTATACTAGCATTAAACAAACATCTAGGATCTAGATTAAAATATACCAACAAACACCAGCAGGAAGGGGAAGCTATGGTTTCAGCTAAGTGAACTCAACATTTTAACAGTGGATTAAGTTAAGAGAAGCAAAAGAATAGTGTTGACAAAGAGATTGTTGAATTCCTCTACTGACTACTATGGATGAGAATAAGCAGGCAGTCCAAGAACCTCACCACAAGAATAAGAACAACGAGGTAATTCAATTCTGTGTATGACACCGAGAAAAAAAGCTTTATGGAGGAAATGATCCTTAACTGTTATTTTCAATGATGAAGAGATATTCTCCAAGGAGACAAAAGGAAAAAAAAGAACATTTCAGACAGAGAAAGCTCTGTGAACCAAGAAACTAGGGGTATGAATTAGCAAAGTGCAGGGCCAGAGAAAGTGGTTCTTCATGCTGAAATGGAGACAAGAGAGGCAGGGAAGCAGGGAGGGAGGGGCAGAGGGAAGGAGGTATAGTTTTCAAGGAAAGAAAAGAAAAAAAAACTGATTTGAATAAAGCAGTGTTTCCTTTGCCAAGCTGACAAATTTATAATTCACATCAGAGGGACGAAAAGGCATTAAACAAACTCAGGTACTAAAGAAAAGAGTCAGATGTGCAATTTATACAGATCATTCACTTCTATGTGGCCAAAGAGAGAAGGGGCTGAGCAGATACAGGAAGATTAAGCTGTTAGATGTCTATTGCTGAACTAAGAAAGAAGATAGAAAATGCTGAGCCAGTCCTGGATAATAGAGACTCACAAGCAAAATTCACAACAAGTAATCAGAACTAGGACAAAAGAGAAAAAAAATCACTTCAGAACACAACATATGGCTTGTGGAATATCTTATATTTCCCAATGATTCTGGAAGACTATTGATTTAAAGAAAAGTGTTCGGCTGTTAAAGTATTTTTCCATGCCTACATTTCATAACTTAATGTGTTCAGATTAGAGCTGAAAAGCCCATTAGAGTAATGGAATATCGTTACTTCGGCTCAGTCCTTCATAAGCACAATTTTAGCTGCACATTGATTCTGGTCTCAAAATAACATAACTAGAGGTAGCATTTGGATAGTGAGATGAACATTTTAGTAATATAATTTTGATATTTTATTATGTGTTTATTTGTATTAAATTCTTCAATTAATTCTGTATATTCAGGTGAGTTGGCAAGAGTGTTTGATAATTTGTTAAGTGCTTTAACATTTTGGATAGAAAGCAAATATGTAATTTCTGAAGAGCATTATTAGCTTTCACTGATTGAAGAATATAACATTATTTTCACATTGATTGAGTTGGCTATATGTTTACTTTGTTTATGCTAAATCTATTTTCAAATTGTCTGCACAGTTAGTTGTATGGGAGAAGTATTTGTAGTTTAATAATCACTGAATATAAATGCAAAAATGCGTAACAAACAGATATGTGAAAATGGAAAGCTGGTTCAGCCTGAGTTCTCCTAGGAACTCTGCGTTTTTGATTTGCAGTATTAAGAAAAGACTTGTGCTTTCAAGTCACTGAGTCTAGGTGGTAAGCTTGTGAGGCTGTTAGCAGAGTGATTACTAAATTATCTCTGCCCTGCACTACTGTCAGAGGTCTTTACAGGTAGAGACTCATTTTCCTGACTTCAGTCTTTGCTTGTCATAAACAAAAATATATTAGGCTTCCACCAAATACAGATACAGACACATAGTGAGAAAATTTTGTATCTAAATCATTTATTTTCTTTAAAATATTGTTTTACACTTTTCTATTTGTGAATTGTGTGTGTGTGTGTGTGTATGTGTGTGTGTGTGTGTGAGAAAGAGAGAGAGAGGAGAAAGAGAGGGAAAGAGAGAGAGACAGAGACAGAGAAAGAGATAGAGACAGAGACAGAGACAGAAAGAGAGAGCGAGCGAGAGGGCTTTAGTAAGTATGCACATAGCTCTAAATGTTAGAGGACATCTGGAAGGAGTCAGTTCCTTCCTTTTATCTAGAGGGACCCAAGGATGAAACTCAAGTCCTACCGCTTGATGGTATGTGCCTTTACTGATAAGTTATCTCATTAACCTTGAATTGTGTGTGTGTGTGTGTGTGTGTGTGTGTGTGTGTGTATGTCAGAGAGAGAGAGAGAGAGAGAGAGAGAGAGGCAGAGGCAGAGACAGAGACAGAGACAGAGACAGAGAGACAGAGAGAAACACATACACATGGGGGGAGAGAGAGGAGATATTCATGTTTTTATTTGGAGGTATATTTGCTTTATTAGGTTCTGGGGATCCAAATTCAGGTATATTTGGATGGCAACATTTTACCCATTGAACCAGCTGGCCAATGCCTGCTTCTGAAGCTTATGGGAGAAAACGAAAACTCCAGGTGTGGGAGTCAGTTATGACTCTAGCCAGTGGTGGAAACTCAGGATAGAGATGGGTAGTGGAGAAAAGCCCTGTTTAAGAGACGTGTGATAACTACAGAAGTGAAACTAGAATTTGATGCTTCAGGGAACTTAGCTGAAGTTTGGTTTATTAGGGTTAAGGGAGGGAGAGGAGAAGAGAAACCGTTTGTAAGAAGCTTAGATGAAGATAAATGTGGCTTAGAATGGGATGCTTGTAAGTATTCTAGAAAAGTAAAATCAAGGAAAACTTTATATTTCTAAGTAACTATATTTTATGTCTTAATATTGAAATAGTATTTATGTAGGTTATATCTTTCTGTATTGTACATAATATGAATTAACATTCTTTCATGGACTTTAATTTTTCCCTAGTTTTGCTATGCTAAAACATACTGTGATATTCACAAACTTTGATTGGATTTCATCATCATTGGTGATTTCCTTAAAATGCAGTAACAGAAATTAAAGTTTGCCTTTTGACTAGTTTTATGGTGGGCTATAAAGTTATTGTTGATAATGCAGAAAATTCAAAATGATAGTGTCAGACATTGTTGACATGGGGGAACATCACCCACAGTCTTACTTTCTGAGAAGAAACTTCATAGTGTTCAGCTTTATACCCAGAAACAATCTTTACCTTGATTTTTGTTCTTATCTTTAGCAGATATATTTTAAAATCAGGCTTATTGGTATCTCTTTGATTGAATTCCATATTAATTTACAGAATTGTAAATTATCTAGGATCCTGTCTCTTCAATGTTTATTGAGCATTATATGATCTAGGAACAGAAATCAAATCATGGCCTGTTTGGGGGGTAGTAACATATAAATAACATTCTTTATATAGATTAAACTGAAATGGAATAGTGAAATTTATTTTAAATGTTGTAACTTTTGGTGTGGAATTAAAATATGCTCATTTCTCATAGCGGTTATTCATTGTTCTCTTAAAGTATTTTCTGATCATTTTAAATAATAATAAAAAATGGCCCCAATCCCTCTTGGTAAAATTTATATATCACAGTATCAGGAACGCTTGAACATAAATGCATATTTCCTGACATAATACTATTATTTTTGATTTCTAAGATATTTATAAATATTGCCTACCTCATGATAAAAATGTACTCATATTAACAGTATATCTCTATGTCAGTGTGAGAATGAGAGTGTACAAAAATGATAGAAAGATTGATAATACATGGGTAGATGATAGATGATAGGTAGATGATAGATAGATAGATAGATAGATAGATAGATAGATAGATAGATATCTGAGGCAATTTAAGTTGTTTGAATCCCAGCATTTTCACTAATATACTTGACATAGCATCAAACTTATTGCATTGTTAAAAAAATTAAAGAACAGATACTATCTTTAATTGGTCATTAGTGTCTTATATGTTTGCAGAAAGTTATTTTTGAATGACAGCAGTTCTTGCTGCTGAGAGCTATCTCATCCATAGACATTTCAATTACTAGTCATACATACATGTGACTTTTTTAAACAAAGGGATGTTTCTTTTAGAAATTATCACATAGTAACTTGACAGAATAATCATATAGAGCCAAAGAAGATAACGTTCTATATCCTTCAAAGACTGACCTCACTGGGGTGGAATGGACATGAACAAAAGACAGGCGTGATGTCAAATGGAATGAAAAGCTGCTATCCATTGGACTGGAATCTCAGATAATCAAGCTACAATATCCTGGAAATGCAGGATGCCCATTACATACAATTAAACAAGGAGGCAGGTTCAGCTGATCTCAGCAGAAGCAATCTCTGCAGAACAACAGCCTTCAGGCTATAAACATTTTTGGGGAGAAGGCTTTGGTGGATATTTTTTTGTACACACGATCAACATTTGTACTTAGATCATGAGAGAATGCTTTTCTATTTCCTTGAGCATGGCAAGGGGGAGACTTTGCTCTTTTTGGTGGGTCTAAGGCAATGGGGTCCTTGACACCGCCATGCTCATGGCAGCAACACATATTAACAAGGACTTAACTCTCTCCCTACCATAACTCACACATTTAAAAGTGCCATAATGTGACAGACAGACAGACATACAGGCAGACACAGAGAGAGAGGGAAGGAAGAAAGGAGGGAGGGAGGGAGGGAGGGAGGGAGGGAGGGAGGGAGAGAGAGAGAGAGAGAGAGAGAGAGAGAGAGAGAGAGAGAGAGAGAGAGTTTTTTTTCAGAGTAAATGAGGGTCACAACTGGGCTCTACTTTGAAGTAGGTTTTCTTTCCTCTTCCCAATAAATTCTCTTAACTCGAGGACTGACTTTATTTGTGTAGTTCAAAAAGTGCATATTACTATCTCTAGTATGTGCCAAATACTGAACCTACAACTAATTAGCATTATGAAGGCACGAGGAAAGGAAGATAGTACATTTGTCATCATTTTTTGCTTAAAAAAAATGGCAAGCTTATCATGGTGACACATGGCTTTAATTCCAACACTCAGGAGGCAGAGGCAAGTGGAGCTCTCTGAGTTTGAATTCAGCCTGTTCTGCACAGTGAGTTTCAGGCCAGCTAAAACTAGATAATGAGTCACTACCTCAAAAAATATTAATCAATCAATTACTCAATAATCCAGTGCACAAACCATGCTGGATGAAATACGTCTTGTTAAAATGAGTTGTTTGAAACAGAAATACACACACACACATACACACATTTCAATACTAGGGAGATATAGTCCCTTCTGACCGTGTATGTGCCTATGAAAAATTATGCCATAAACACTTACAAGATTCAGCAGCATGATGATTATGAAATTGATGCAGACAGCAGCACCAGAGGTAGCAAACTGCCAGTGCTGTTTGATGAAATTCCACTTGAATGATGCAAACTGCTCCATGACAACCAGACGGTACACTACAACTGCGAACACTGCTGTGATGACCAAGGAGATCTGCAGAGTACGAGAGCAAACAGGACATACTAACAAATGAGAAGCAAAGCACATATATGTTAAATAATAAATGATAAGTGTTAAAAATGACAATGAGAACAGTGCTTTTCTTTTGCATTCTTAGGATTCCAAAATGAGTCGGTATGCTAAAATACCCTTCTAACCTCAGAATCCTGCATCATTCTCAAAGTGCTAATGACCATATTTTACCATGAAGAAGATTCCTGAGACAGACACAAGAAGTCGTGTGACTTTGTCGGATGAAGGCTGATGAGGCTCCGGCTTCCCAGTGATGGGGTTTATTACCTCCATCCTGTAATATTTTGCTTCAAACTGGGGGCGAAGTGTTTCCTATGGGAGAAACTAAGGTTACCTAAATAGCAAGTCCACAAATTAAAATAAAAGTCTTTTGAGAATTAATATAGACTCTTGAATTGATCCTGCTTTGTGTTGTTTGAACAAAGATGCAACCTTCTAAAGAACCAATTTACAGCTCAACTGCACCCATGGGTATATTTTAATTTGGACAATTTTCTATGAATCCCCTCTAAGAAAACATTATAGAAATGGTTTTAACAATGTATCTTTCACCCTTGGCCCCGATTACTTTCAGAAAATAAGGAATCTTGTCAATATGATATAAAGATGAGAATCTATTTCTAGCTTGATGTACTTCCCCAGATTTCTTAACTTCTACTTCTTAATATCTTACCTCCTCTTCTTCCCAATCAATAAGGTCCCAAGTGTAAGTCAGTATGCTTCTTCTCCTTTTCCAAAACTCAAGAAAGACTGTGGCTATAAAATAGTAATAATGATAATAATAATAAACAATAATAATAATTCTCCACCTCCAACACACCACATTGCTTTTCTCCAGGCAGGTATATATCATCATATAATTAAATTGTGTAAAGTGACTGACTTGTTAATAAATAAATATTGGAAGTTTTATTTAAACCATCTTTCTTTCTGGTCTTTATATAAAGCTGTCTGTATATGTGACTAAAGGGAGGCAATTTTTAACACTAAAATTGATATTTTTGTTAGCATTGTATATCAAAAATGATGCTAGGAGAGAAAGTCAAGATTAGAGCAACAAAGACCATTTTACATTTTTAATATGGACAATCTCATACTTATTAACATCAGTCATCGTCAAGTTTACAGTTCAGCAGGGGCAGAGGATTGCTTCTTAACTTTCCTTAATATCACATAAACAAGAGGAATCTAACACGAAATCTAAACAAAAAAAAAGTGATCTGAATGATTGCAGTTTCAAAGCAATAACCTTCAAAAACAGATACTGAGTCTAGACAAGATGGCTTTTTCATTGAACTAGGTATTCAATTGGGTTGTGTTTTAAAAGTTCATTCTCACTGAGATACATTCATTTTATCCATCTCTTGTTTATTTGAAATCTCAAATGCATTTATATTCTCAATTTAAAAAAATAATTTAGAAAAGCTTCCAGAATAATTTAGTGTCCAGCATAAAGCAAGGATAAATACCTTCCTAACTTATTAATTAAAAAAATCTACTTTCAAAAATTATCACACTCTTTGCTTTTGGCAATCACCTGAAATGTTGCATATAGTATATTCTTTAATGAAAGTGGTGCTTATACAAGCTCATACTGTCCTTAGTCTATGGATTTTGATGCTTGTAAGTTTTATTCTTAATGGCAGTTTTAGGACTGAGAATAATGGAGCACACTTTATCCCCAGCACTAAGAGGTAGAGGCAGGTACATTTCTCTGAATTCTAGGCCAGCTTCTTCAATACAGTGAATTCTAGGCTAGCCAGGATTGCATAATTAGAATCTGTCCCAGAAACAAACAACAGTTTTCGAATACTTGGATTTTCTTTACTCTGGAGATTCTGTTGTTGTTGTTGTTTTTCAAGCGATGGGTATAGCATTCACTATACCATCCATCAACCCATTACATAACTAGAAATAAATCCTTTATTTCTTTTGAAACAGTTTCTCACTATATAATGCTATGTTAACCTAGAGCTTACTGTGTCTTGGGCTAGCCTCAAAACATGGAGTATCTAGCTTTAGTCTCTAGAGTGCTGATATTAAAAACATGAATCAACATACACAGTGAAAATTAATTTTGAAACAAAAATGATTAAATATGTTGCTTGGCTAGATCCTCATGACAACATTGTGGTCCTCCTCAGGTTTGCATTTTATGATGTCACAGTAATTTTAACTCCTTAGCAGTGGAGTTATGGCTTCCATAACCATATAAATCACATAATCAGTTTTAACTTGGCTACCAGCCCAAATGATAAGCATGGGGATTAAAAGAAAATGTGTGGAGGTCTGCCTACTCCCCAGCATATCTGTAGCCATTTTGTTCCATGCTTGCCATCTATTTCATATTGTTGCTACAATTTGTCAGTCATCAACACAGAAAAGTAACTTGACTCAGAGCATGGTCATGCTGACCACATCCCTTGTTATGTTCTGTATGAGGCTTGCTAATCTTAAGAAATTCCACAAAGCTTTTCCTAGGACACATCAAATAAAAGGTCAATATAAACTGTAATGTTTAAAGTGGCTTGAGTCACAGCTGACCACTGGGTAGTACTTTCTGTACGTATGAGCGCATTGTGGTTTTCTCCCTTATAAGCTGGCACTGAGAAACGTTCGTTGCAACAGTCTCAACCTCCAAATTCTGAACTATGACCCTGATCGATCAGTATTAAGGTGTGTGTTCAGTAATTCATCCCTGTCTGACTGAGATCAGTGTTTGTGTGGTTTATGGGTAACTCTAGGATAACAACAAAAGGAAACACTGAACAGTTCTCTGGTATTATAGAGCCTGGAGTAAAGAAAAGATATTGTCTTAGGATAAGGCCCGAGGAAAGGATGGAGCTCAAATATGAGTCTGAGTCATCTTAGAGAAAAAGGTGAATGAATGAGTCCAAATGCAGAAGCAAATGTGGCTCAATACTAACTGGAAAGTGATTGAGTCCATCAAACATTCAAATTCCCATAATCTACAACAACATGAAAAAAAAAGCTGCAAAGAACTCTTTTGTTCTAAGTCTGAGTTGATGTCTCTCAAGGTCCTATGGATCCAAGTATTGCAGGAAGATATTGAGGATGTGATTCATTACCATACAGAACCTGGTGCTAAGAACCTATTGCTGTTGATTTCATCTTTGAGTCATAGAACATGGAAAACTCAACTTGGTATTTATCTTGAAGCTTTATCCCTATGGCCTGGCTCTCAGAGTGTTGAAAAGTACTATGCATATTAGTGGAGGAAAAAAGTTATCATCAATATCACAGAGTTATGAACCCTGAGAACTACAATTATGAATGGGCTGGCAAGAAATGACCACTGGTAGGATAGTTGCAATAATATTATAGGAGTTACCAACTACTTTCTAATTGGATTTAGGGCCCACTCCACAAGATTAAATCTATGCCTGATATACCACTATTTTTCCAAGAACCTTTGGCTAGACAGGTTACAAGCTATATTTGAAAACCTACTACTATTACTCTGCTAATTGGTTATAGTATCAAATCAACTCTCAACAACTTATCATTATGCCAATATATTAGTCCTCATCAGAGAAGTTCCTTTTACACTAAATGGAGACTGACAAGAATTCCTGCAACTGATCAAGGTTAGAGAATAAGAGAGTGCAGAATCCTCAGCACTTACTAAGATATCTATATCAGAACTCCTCCTACTAAGGTTCAAGGACTATGGCAGAAAATGGTCAGAAAGACTGCAAGAGCCATAAGAAGTGGATGATTACAAGGAAGCAGTGATCTTGGACCCAACAAGGCAGTTAATTGCACATGTGAATTCATATCAGTTGAGATAGGATGCACAAGACCTCAGCAGGCATAGGCTAAGACAAAAGTCCAGCATGAAGAGCAGAGATGGGCACCTGTAGGGAGTAGATGTATCCCTGAAGGACTTGACTCAGTGAAGTCCTAAGTATATGTGTCTTTTGACATGCACAAGACCAGTTGAGGACTCTGAGACCAACTGACCCATGGTAAACTGGCAAAGACATTACTCATATAAAGAGGCTCAAGAGAGATGGCAAAGCTTTTCTAGGGAATTGAAGTATATGGTTTTATAAATTATTGCTCACTGTGTGAAAGAACAACATTGATAGGTTCATCTTCCTGGATGAGCCCGAGATCCTCACCTACAGAGACTAACTATCCATTCCATTTGTACTGTGCCTAATATACATGGGTATCTGGGTTGTGGTGGTAGTGGTGAGAGAACCCCACCTGATCCCAGCTTCATTGAATGAGTTGCTTTGTGTATGTTCTTTTTCATTCCTTTACTGGCTCTAGCCAGTGTTCCAGAACCTAAGCCTACAGGGACATGACTGGCACCTACTCTTAACTAAGAAACTATTGGCCATTTAGAGCTGCTAGGAGAATAAGAGTCAGTTTTTGTTAAGGGTGTGGCCAATGATAAGTTGAGCACACTCCAGTGGAAAACCTCACATCAGAGACTCTATGACAAACTGTATTTAATGGGTTAAAAATATACTTTAAGTTGACTGGATACATAAGGGTGGTAGATCTGGGAATTGTTGGCGAAGGTGCTATATAAAACTAAGACACAGATTACAAATTTTTCTTTAAAAAATAAGTATCTATCCACATCCTTGCCAACATGTGCTGTTACCTAAGGTTTTGATCTTAGTCATTTTGATTGGGGTAAGGTGGAATAGCACAGTCATTTTGATTTACATTTCTCTGATGACTAATGATTTTGAACATTTCTTTAAGTGCTTCTAAGCCATTGGAGATTCCTTTGTTGTGAATTTTCTGTTTAGCTCTATATCCCATTTCTGACTGGGTTGTTTGTTCTTTGGAGGTTAGCTTCTTGAGTTCTTTATATATTTTGGATGTTAGCCCTCTATTGGATGTGTGGTTAGTAAAGATTTTTCCCCCAATCTGTAGGTTGCCCATTTGTCCTATTGGCTGTGTCTTTTGCCTTAGAGAAGCTTTTTAGTTTCATAAGATCCCATTTGTCAATTCTTGACCTTAGAGACTGAGATATTGGCATTCTGTTTAGGAATTCTCCCTCTGTGCCAGTAAGTTCTAGGCTTTTCCCACTTTCTCTTGTGGATTTGCAAACTGGTACAACCTCTCTGGAAATCAATTAGAGATTCCTCAGAAGATTGGAAATAGTTCTACTTGAAGACCAGCTATATCACTCTTGGGAATATGCTCAAAAGATGCCTCACCACACCACAGGGACACATGCTCTGCTATGTTCACAGCAGTTTTATTTGTAATAGCCAGAAGTTGGAAATGACCCAGATATCCCACAAAACAAGAATGGATACAGAGAATGTGGTTCATTTACACAATGGAATACTATTCAACTGTTAAGAATGAGGACATCATGAGTTTTGCAGACAAATGAATGGAGCTAGAAAGTATCATCCTGAGTGCGGTAGCTCAGACCCAAAGGATATGCATGGTATGTACTCACTAATAAGTGGATATTAGCCAAAAATGTACAGAACACCTAGAATACAATCCACAGAACTTAAGAAGATTAACAAGCAGAAGGGCCTAAGTGAGGATGCTTCAATCCCACTTGGGAAAGAGAAGAAAATAATCACAGGAGGCAAAGGGAGGGAGGGATCTGGGTGGGAGAGGGGCAGGCCAGGGGAAAAGGGGAACAGGATCAGGTATAGGGGTGGAGAGACAGGAGAGAAGCCCTGAGGGCCAGCAGAATGAATGGGAATATACAACCTCAAGGGGTAGAGGAATGCTCTAGAAAGTACCGG